GATATTGTCCTATAGCTTTCTTTTTTGATAGTATCTTTCTCTGGCTTTGATATCAAGGTGATAGTGGCTTCATAGAACGAGTTTGGGAGTATACCCTTCCCTTCAATATTTTGGAAGAGTTTGATCAATATGAGTTCTTTGTACGTTTGGTCAAATTCCCTTGTGAAGCCATCTGTTTATGGACTTTTCGTTTGCAGGGAGGTTTTTTATTGCTGATTCTACTTTACTTCTAGTGATCAGTCTGTTCAAATGATCTATTTCTTCTTGATTCAGTTTTGGTGGACTGTATGTTTCTAGAATCTTGTCCATTTCTTCTAGGTTATCCAGTTTATTGCCAAATAGTTGTTCATAGTATTCTCTTATAGTTTTTTGAATATCTGTGGTGCTGGTTGTAATTTTTCCATTTTCCTGTCTTACTTTGTTTATTTTTGTTCTCTCTCTTTACTTCTTGGTGAGCCTGGCCAGAAGTTTGTCAATTTTGTTTACTCTTCAGAAAACCAGCTCTTGGTTTGATTAAGTTAAAAACATTTTATTAATCTCTATTTTATTTATTTCCTCCCTTGATCTTTACTATTTCTTTTCTTCTGCTGACTTAGGTTTTGTTTGTTCTTCTTTTTCTAATTCTTTTAGGTGGTAAGTTAGGTTGTTTACTTGAGATTGTTCTTATATTTTGAGGAAGGCTTTTATCACTATGAACTTCCTTTTTAGTACTGCTTTTGCTGTATCCCATAAATTTTGTGTTGTTCTGTTTTCATTGCCATTTGTATCAAAGTATTATTAATTTCTTCTTTGGTTTCATCATTGACCCATTGTTTTTGCTTGTTTGTTTGTTTTTTTAGTAGCATCTTGTTTAGTCTCCAGGTAGCTGGTTTTTTCTCCTTTGTTTTTCTGTGGTTGATTTCTAGTTTCATGCCATTGTGATCAGAAAAGATGCTTGAAATCATTTCTATTCTCTTAAATTTGTTGAGGCTTCTTTCGTGTATGAGTATGTGGTCTGTACTAGAGAATGTTCCATGTGCACTTGAAAAGAATGTATATTATTTTGGGGGGGGATGTAATGCCCTAAAAATATCAACCAAGTCCAACTGTTCTATTGTGTCATTTTGTATCTCCATTGCCTTATTGATTTTCTGTTTGGAAGACCTGTCCAGTGATGTTATTAGCATGTTAAAGTCACCTACCATTAGTGTGTTCCCATCAAATTTTCCCTTTATGTCTGTTAATATTTGTTTTCTATATTTGGGTGCTTTTATATTGGGTGTATATATGTTAACAAGTGTAATATCCTCTTCTTGTATCACTCCATTTATCATCATATAGTTTTTTTCTTTATCTTTCTTTATGGCCTTTATTTTAAAGTCTATTTTGTCTGACATGAGTATTGCTAGTCTCGCTTTCTTGTCATTTCCATTTGTATGAAATATTTTTCCATCCTTTCACTTTACATCTATGTGTGTCTTCAGTCTAAAGTGGGTCTCTTGTAGGCAGCATATTGTAGGTTCTTGTTTTATTATCCAATCTGCCACTTTATGTCTTCTGATCAAAGCATTTAGTCCATTGACATTTACAGTAACTAGTGATAGATGTGTGTTTATTGCCATTTTGAACTTTGTTTTCCAGTTGATTTGGTGTTTCTTTGTTCCTTTCTGTTTTGTTTATTTGTGTGTGTGTGTGTGTGTGTGTGTGTGTGTGTCATTTGATAATTTTCTTTTTTATTAGGTTGGTTTCTTTTTGGTTTTTGTGACTATTATTTGCCTTTCATTCGTGGTTACCCTGTTTCTCCAGTATGTTAACCCATTACTATAACTGTTTAATACTGTTTTTCTGTCTGCTGTTCTGATTGGGTGATTTCTGTTATCCTGCCTCATAAATCACTTACTTATTCTTCTGAATTATCTAGTCTGCTTTTGACTGCCTTGAGCTCAGCCCTTATCTCAGCAACTGAGTTTTCTGATTTTAATTGTCTCCTCTTTACAGTTTCTATTTCCTTTTTATAGTATTCTACATTCCTATTCATAGTCTTCAAGTGAGCATGCAGTCACACACCTGGATCCACCATGCACTACAGGGTCAGCGCAGACCCCAGCCCTATGTCTGTGTACAGTACACAGGCCTGCTGCTAATGCCAAACCCACCCCCACTATGTGCCAGAACTTAGCTCATTCATCTTGGAGACATGGGTCCACACAGGCACCAGCAGAGCAAATCTGTCACCGCTGCCAGGGTACAGAATCAGTCTCAGTCCTGCCTGGGAATCTGCAGGTCCCCTAGGTACGGATTCAGGTTTCAGCCCCGCCTCCATCCAGGAGCTGCATACAAGGGATTAAGTCTCTTGAACAAGCCAGGTTGATGGCTATGTCTGAACCCCTCCTATCTTCTCATGAGAATGTGCACCAATAATTGTGCAGAGCAACGTCTGCTGGGCTAGCAGAGATGGCAGCTATGGCCTGGCTATGTTGCAACCCTCCCCACCATGCACACCAGCAGTTGTGACTTTTATGGAGGTCCCTGGCTGTTCTGTTCTGCACACACTTCCACCCACAGCCTGCACCACACTCCAGCCCCATGAGGCTGTCTCTGCTCAGTCAGCCCCAGACCTCTCCCCAGATTTCTCTATGGAAGCCCAAACTCCAGCAGCCCATCCTGGCTTGCCCCAACTGGCTCACATCTTGGGCTAGGTATCACAGGGACCCTTTCTGCTGGCTTTGCTCAGTTCTGTGTCAAACGTCTGCTGCTTTCTCCTCCAAGCCTTGGAAGCTCCCTTTCTGTCCCTGCTGACCTCCTCTCTGGAGAGGGGGCATCCCAAAGTGAGGGCGATTTTCCTCCTTCGCTGTTCACTCCCTGCAGAGCAGATCCCTCAATGATTTCCTTTTTCTTTTTCTTTTTTCCCTCCTAACCATGTTTGTGCATAATCTTCTTGTATTTCCGAAATAAGAGATATTCTGCCTAAGTTCAGTAGATATTCTGTGTGAATTGTTCCATCTATGGGTGTAATTTTTGGTGTATTTGTGGGAAAGGATGAGCTATGTGTCCTTCTACTCTGCCATCTTGGCAATCCCCCAGAACTGCTGTTTTTGAATTGAGAAGAATAGAGGGTTTCACAGTAAAAATCAAGAATTGTTTTAGATATATTAAGTATGAGATCCCTGTAAGACTGCAAGTGGATTTATGTGTTTGAAGTTCAAAGAAGAGTTATTACTGAGGACATAAATTTGAAGTCATCACCATACAGATGAGATGTACATGCATATCATTGAGTGAAATCAATTAGGTAATTCCTATTGATAAAGAAAAGATATTCAAGGATTGAGACTTGTGCAAATCTAATGTTTAGAGGTCAGGTCAGAGAAGAGAAATCAGAAGGATATTTTAGTATCTCTTTTAAGACAGTACTCAGTGTCACAGGAAGAAGAACAAAAGATTTTCCGGGGGTCAGGTGAAGAAAGTGTTTCAAGGAGGAGTTATTATGGTTATTTGTGTCAAATGCTGCTAAGTCCAATTAGACATGGTTTAAGAATTTATCATTAGATTTAACAACATGGAAGTTATTGATGGGATCTTGAAACCAGTAGTATTTGTGCATGGACAGACACAAAAACCTAGATGGATTAAGTAAAGTGGTGATAGTAAATACAGACATTTTGAAGAATTTTGCCATAAATGTGAGCAAAATGGAGAGGTAGCTAAAGGGGTATGTTAAGTGTAGTTAAGGGATTTATAACATACTTGTGCAATATTGGGAAATTTCCTTGAGGAGAATAACTGATGACAGAGAAGAAAGAGAGGACAACAGTAGGGACAAATGGAAATGAAGAAGCAGGCTTGACTTGTCATGTAAACTTGATTATATTGAATATCTAAACATTGGTTATGTTTTTATTCTTTAAAAAAAAGTTTTTGGTTTAAACTATTCTGATTCCTAAAAGAAAAAAAATAGCATAGGGACCTTAAAATAGATTGGCTTAAGTTCTCAAAAAGTCTTCCATTTATGGAAATATTTTCAGCATAAAAACACTCTGTCTCAACATACTGTATGCTCTTGTCCTCTGGTTTGTCTAATTTAAACATGTTTCTGTTAAAGGCTATCATAACCCCCAACAGAGAATCAAATGACATTTATTCAAGCCTCAGTGACAGATTAACGTGCCAGAAGTTATGCTGATACCTACAAAATGTTACTTTATTTTTTTCCTGAGCTTTGCAGCAAGATAATTTAGCTTTAGGCAAACAAAGCATAAACCTCTTCAAGGTTGATTTTTCCAAAAGCAGCTGTTTGTAGTCTAAAGCTTCATTTGTATGTGAGTCATTAGCACAGTGTTTACAAGGTTTTTATTTTTTCCTATATGGTTTCTATAAAACTATATCATAGTTGATATTTTATTTCTAAACATACTCCTATGTTAATTCATCCTCTGGTACGGGAGTATATGAAGCATATATTCAATCTACCAGTCAGATCTTCTTGATGTTTAATATTAAATGCTTTAAAGTATATCACATCCCCCTTTATTCCATTCCACATGTACTTAATGAAGCAATATCTAGGGCAACTTATTTTCTCACCCAACTGGAAATAGTTGGTGAATTTAAGCAATGATTGATGAATTTAGGTACCTAAAAGAGTTAGGATTAACCCTAGAGACTAATTATTTTCCTGTATCACATCACTCATGCCACTACTGTGAGCAAGCATCATTAATCCCAACAGTCAATTATTCATCCTTTTGATCCTTATCCTCAAAATGTTCCATTTAAAATGCCCAAAGTCAAGTTCTTAATAATTTGAGAATTTTGGACCAAAAACAACCTAGATCTTAATTATAAACAGAATCTCTTTTAAACTTTGGATATTTATTCCACATGGAAGTTACTTTCATATATGGTGTGAGGATGGGATCACTCATATTTCTTGATCAGGAGACCTAAACCAAATAAGTGGTCCCCATGCACCCTGTGTACAATGGAGGAACAGAGATAATATAACTACAATAAAGACTCACCTTGGAAAATGGAAGAATGGGAAATATGCCCTATAGCCACTTGTTGTAACATCCTGCAATCCTTCTGTCAGACATTCACAGACTTCCTCCTGTTGGAAGGAAAATGTTTCTTCATTAATTCACAATTCTGTTCCTTAGAAGGAGCTTCTCATTCATTGTTCTACTTGATCTGTGATTATGTCCTTTGGGTGATAATTCGTCTCATTATATTACTTAGATACATACATTGGACATTAGGGGAAAAAAAAGTCATCTTTGTAGGCTGAACAATGTTCTCATCCTATTTACTACTTGGAGAATGCTGGGGATTCAATAGTCATTTTAGGTCTTGGAGAGATAATTTTAGAATTTCTTAATTTCCATCATGGTTTCTTTGGCAGTACCATCTCTGAAAAACTTTCATGGGCTTCTTACTTAGTTGAATCAAATCTATCCCATGTACCAATTATTGCACACACAATCTTTTCTAGACTTATCAGATTTTAAAAATATCTCTTTGTTTTCTCATATCCTTGACTCTTTTCTCAGTTTTATTGTATGTCTCTGCAACCTGTCAGACTCTAGTGAAAGAACCATGTATTTAGTCTCTCTTCCTAGAGCTATTTTTTTTCTAATTAAAAAGATTTAATGAAACCACCTTCTTAGTTGGACCTTTACACTGAGACATGTTAGTTGATGGAGAGGTTTTAACAAAATGGATGTATCAGCCATTCTCTTGATTTAAGTATTGCCTTGTGCCTGAGATTTAATCTGTCTTTAGTGATCAAAGAATTTCTCCATTTTATCTTTTATTATTTGAGGTTAAGAATCAGTTACCTTTCCAGTCCTACAAATCCCCACATTTCTGATTGCTCCCTACTCTCTAACCAACCTTTGAGACAATGACAGTAAATTCTGTGCTCACTTCTTCTTTGCAATTCCTTGTCAAATACAGTTAACAACTAATGTGCACTAATACACACTACTACTTTATTCCAATTTATTTTCTTAGAGTTAAGTTCTTATTAAGTACATTATCTCCCTTCCCAGTTACTGCAAAGCTTTGGTTTTCTGCACTGAAAACCATAGAATGCCATCATTCCAGCCTCTAATAACAAAACAATAAAACCACTCTAAGTGAGTACTAACATAACAAAAACCTATGGTCTCAGTCATTTACAATGCCTTTAGATATTTTTTATGGAATTGAAAAACAGCTTATGCTACAGTAACAAACAACCCTGAAATCTCCATGGTTTAAACAAAGGTTTTAAATGTCTTACTCAGGTTATATGTTCAATATGATTCATTAGAAGGATTTACTCCAACAGGGGCCTTCGCTGAAGGAAATTCTATATTCTTACATGCTTCAAGAGTCCTAAAGAATGGGAAGGGATCTAGTGAATCACACAATGCGCTAAAAGGCTCTAACTGGGAAGTAGCCTATATTCTTTCTCTCACATTTCATTGGTCAAAGCAAGTCACAGAACTATTCCCAGTTTAATGGGCGTGAAATCCATGCCCAGAAAACAGCATCAATGAATTCCACATCCACATATTGGCTTTCTGCACGTCCCAATTACAAATTAGCAAACTATATTTTATGGTAAATTGTTACATTGTGTCCAACGTCACTACCATGTTCTGTGAAACTCAATGAAAATCTAATGTGGCTTCAACTTACAAGATTCTGAATCCACTATCTACTTGACTAGGTTAACATGTTGAAGGTCATTGCTCAACCACTATGCTGTTTGTTATCTCTCTCTGAAGTGCCAACTTACAAGTAGTGTATGCTCCCTCTGCCACTTCCTGAATATTAACTTTTTCATTTGTATTAACTTGTTTTCCCAAATAGTAGAGGAAACCAACTGTTCCACCAGTGACGGGTTGAATACGTAACTCTAATTTATGGTACAAAATGTACAAAGCTGGATTTGGCCCCGAGTTCAAGCTATATTATCCAATCTATACATACCTAATTCCTGCCTGTCTCCTGTTCATATTTTCTATTGACTCAGCACTCAGAGGAGGTATGATTATTTAGCCTGAGTCAGAATGACCAAAACATGGAGTGGGGGGGAAACCTTTCAAACAGGGATAAAGCAGGAAATTAAGGGACCAAATGGCACATAGGAAAGAATAAAACATTTTTTATGATGTAATGGTGGGTTTCTGCAGGACTGAATCTAGTTTCAATAGATGCATGCTTTAGGAAGAGGGACCACTAGCTGTTGGAAAATCAGACATGGATCTGACTATACCCCTGATGCAAACTGGCCTCTTCTCACACTGAAGATGAGACTGAGACAGGTAGTCATTTAATTTCAATTAAGGCTTACATCAAAATTGGCAGGACTTCTGTATACAGGTTTTAAAGATACTACCAAATGAAATAATTGTATTCTGTTTTCAACAAGGGCTATAGTCCCACAGCTTAAATTACAATGGGCATATTGCATAATCCTTGGCAGACCACAGAGCTCTAGCACATGATCCTCTGTATTAATTATCAGCTGTCACCATATTGCTGTATAACAAGCTACCCAAAAGTCAACAGTTTAAACGTAACTATTAGGTTTAATAAGAACCTCTTTGGGAGGTCAGCTGGGAGTCCACCCTGATCTAAATCATATGTCTGTATCAGGTATAGGTAAGGCTGACTCTCTGCTAATTTTGACTGGGTTCTCTCTGGCAAGGCTGACTGCTGGCTGGTCTGTAATGTTGTCATCTCTCATGGATGCATCTCTTACCATTCAAGTAGGGGGGACTGTTCTCATGTTAGAGGTAGGAGCCCAAGTGAATAAGAACTTGCTTTCACAAGGCTAAGACTCAGAACTGGTGCCATTAATTCCCCACATTCTATTAGGCAAAATAATTAATAAAGAAAGCTCGAGTTCAAAGAGAGAGCAAATAAAATCTACCACTCTAATGAGAAAAACTGCTTAGTCAAACAGTATGTGGGCATAGGAGTAAAGACATCTGGTGATTTTGCAATCTGTCATCACTGTTAAACTTTAATGAACTGGACCGTTGCCTCAGTTGTTGTTTCTTTGTCGATGTAGTGAATGTCACATAAGAACAAAGAAGAAACTAAAAATTCTAACTTCTCAGCTTCATGTGGTTTGCTACTGACTTCTAGAAAATGATCTCAACTTGGGTCATCATGGTTAATCAATCAAGCCCTGACAAACGCTTTTGATTTTAAAGACCTGGACACTGCAGCCATCATAGTGGAGTTACTGTTTTTGTCAGCCAGCTGAGAAATACAGACTCTTTTTAGGTTGAGGTATTCTTCTTAGATTGAGACAGAAGAAAAAATAAAAATATTATTAATGATTATATGTTTTAATTCTCTGACTAAAGAATTCATGTTTGCTCAAAATATCAGTTTTAAAATTAAATTGAATCTGGCTTTCAGAACAGTAACAGTGGGATGGTAAAATCCAATAAAAGGAAATAAAGTCAGACTTGTGTGTATTATGTTATTAATACGGGTGGGGGGACCCAAAGAGATGTAAAGAAGAAAGGGAAACAAGATCACAGAAAAAAATAAAGTAAAATTATACTCACAGGGACAATCCAGATGCAAAAGACTATTGAAAAGCACTCAAAACCGCAGAGAGAGAGTCTGTAATAAGTGCAACTGGGAACCCTCAGCTTGAAAACAGAGACAGCCAGGTGGCTGAAGAAAACTCAGAAAAATTTCAGAAGGGAGGACTAAGATCAGTCTAAACTACTTCAAGCAACATTTGATTGTTTCAAGGCAACACTTTTGCTGCTGTTTTTCTTCCATGTGATACTTTTCTTTTGTTTTGCTTTTATCTGAGAAAGCATATCTATATATTTCCTGGGGGACTATGGTCAGAAAATTTATACAGTTAGATTTCTAAATAAGACACACTGGAGATAAACCATCTTACAAAGATCCATAACAGACAAAAAAAAAATAGATAATATCCTGGTCTAGGTTATACTCTGTGTAGAATTATCCAATATGATAGCCTCGGGATGATAAGATTTACATCTTAGTGTCTTCATATCTCATCATAGAACATACTTCAAAGGAGAGTCTAAAGAAATATAATAGGAAGACAAATGTGTGGGACCAAGAACAAAGGGGTAAAAAAGGAAAGCAGACATTATATTCTAGCCTCTCTACCACACAGTAGAGAAAAAACAACGAACAATCTAAGAAACACATGAAAGACTGAAAACCCAAATTGACCTGCTATAAATGATTAAGAATACACAGAAGAAATAGAACACTAAGGGCACATGAACAGTCTTACATTCTTGGAAGCATATTATGACATGTTGACATTTGGTCTTGTTGTCTAGTCTTAATTCAGTTTTACTGAACAACTTGGCTAGGCATACTCTAAGGTGGGAAATAAAATAAACACCAATTTTTTCATTCATAGTAAAGCATGTTTAACAGTTCATTTGTTAATGTCTCACTCAGGCCCCAGAGTGAGACATTAAATGTCTCAGAGATTTCTGGGGGCAAAGCTGAGATGCTCACCCTGGATTCTATAAACAAGCAGCTGTTATTGAAGAAGCATCTTGATAAAAATAGGCTCCACCGAGAAAGAACACCAGACACTGGCTATCCATAACATTAGCTGTTAGGTTCAAAGAGACAAGGGGGCAATTATCTGGGAAGTAGTGGAAAATATGCTTCTGTAAGAGAGGAAGGAACTTCCACTCCACTCCAGGAAAGGGAAGAGTTTTAAAGTATCACTGATGGTTGCCCTCTTACTCCTCCTCATCAAAGAAGGAGGGACTAAGGCAGGTAGCTGCTTGATACCTTTGTGTGGGGCCAACGTGTAAGAGGTCTCTGCACAGGCGTGACCCAGCCTTTTGTCTCTCTCTCTGTATCTCAGAGCTGCCTGCCTTATGCATTGTGTGTTCTCCTCACCTGTCCCTCTTTCATGTGCCAAGAACTTTCAGGCAGAGATTCCCTGTGCTATAGAGAAGTCCTGTAATTTCTCTGTTCCACAAAGTATGACTGAATGGGTAGATGAGATAGATTGTATTGTTTTTATTTCCAAATATCACTGCCCATTCATTTCAGAAGCATGTATTTGTCACTGAATGGGACTGTCATAAATTATATCATTCTGAAAACATTCACTCCTCTCACCAACTGAAG